AGTTCCATCCACGTCATTGCAAATGGCAAGATCTCATTCCTTTTGATGGTTGCATAATATTCCATTGTGTATATATACCACATCTTCTTTATCCATTCTCTATGGTAAGTTTTAAAAGAGGACTTTAAATATTGTAAAAAATCTCATGAGGGTAGTGTTTCTCAGCCTAAGGACTTTATTAGAAGTACATGAGTGCCCTATGGTAATTTTTAAAACTGTTTTTAGGAAAATAAAAAAAAAAAACTAAGCGTACTTAGATAATCTGTATGAATATCTTACATCCAAGAATTCTCCTAATTGTAGTGCCTACATTTGTCTTTGGCTTCACTATCACATAGGTGTTAAACCATATAACTAACTGACATGGCTGATGAGAAAAGACCAGAGGCAATGTGATATATAAATGAGGCTTAAGTACAGAGTGAGGCCAGACGATGTCACAGCCAGCTATTCAAAAGCAGAAAATGCAGTAGTTCCAGTAAAGAAAGAGTGGGAGAAGTGAGTCATCACTGGGCACACAGTAGCTCAAAAAAACTCAACTACAGAAACCAGTATTATATTCATGCTGTGAGCATAGACTATTATAGCAAAATGATATAATCTATCACAAGTTTAAGAAACTATTTTTAATTTTTATTTTTTAAAGATTTTATTTATTTATTTGACAGAGAGAGACACAGCAAGAAAGGGAACACAAGCAGGGGGAGTGGGAGAGGGGGAAGCAGGCTTCCCCGCCGAGCAGGAAGCCCGATGAGGGGCTTGATCCCAGGACCCTGGGATCACGACCTGAGCCAAAGGCAGACGCTTAATGACTGAGCCACCCAGGTGTCCCAAATTTAAGAAACCTTTTAATAAAAAGGGATTTCCAAGGGCAAAATGTTAATTACTAGCATACAAATATGATTTATGAATTATGGAAAGGATTGGGCAGGTGAAAAGCAGATGGTCTGGTGACTCCAGGGGTGGAAAATAAATAAGAAAAAACTTTTGAGAAAAAAAACCCCAAAGACTATAAAGTAGAGGAAATCTAAGATGTGCTGATCTAAGTGAAGGAACTAAAACACAGTTTTGGAAGCACCTGCCACAAAGGTCTACGATACCAGAAAACAGTTTAGAGATGAGGAAGGAGAGGAGGAGCTAGGAGGAATGGTGGGCAGAGCTAAGCGGGACAAAAAAGGAGAGAAGAAACTGCCTTTTACTACTCAGGCACTGAGGCTTACTGTAATGGCTAGTGGAGCCTGAAGGCATCTGCACTCCTGTTCAACAGTAATGGTGGATGTCTGATGATTCACTTTCCTGAGTGAATCATTGCAAGACTGTTCCCTTAAGTGTGGCCATGGACATCTGGAGGTGGCTGATCACCAGACCCCAAGGGTGTCAGTCATTAATAGTCTTTAAATTGGTGGTTAAACTGGGCTTATAACTCAGAAGACAGAATTGTGTGGAAGACTACTAAGTCTAGGAAGTCAGAATGAAAAGAAATACTTCTTTTTGGGGGATTGGCAACTGATGATAAAACTGTTAAAACAAAAGTGCACCATAACTTTTGTGGGTCTTAGGCTGCTTGCTCATTCCTTTGTCTTTAGGGGAAGATTTTCCTTCATTGCATCAGAATACTAACATATAACTAAATGGTCAACACACCAGAGGTCTCAAATTTTCTACATGGAATCACAAAGATCTGAAATCACCTGGGAGGATAATAGGGGAACATTGAGGGCATTTGAATTTCTGAGACTAGATGAGGAACAAAGAAGGAGAGGCTGTCAGCTGTCCAACTCTGTCCCTGGGGATTTCTGGCAAATAAGAGTTGTGGGAGCACATAGCATATTGTAGAAGGAACATCTGAGAACAAAAACTAGCTTGGAGAACTTCAGATTTCTTAAAAAATAGTTTTATCATAAAAAAATATGTACCTTTCCATTTGAATATGAAGTTACAGATAAACTTAAGAATGACCCACCTTACTCCAAGCGTAATTCCAAGTCACGTAACTGTCGCCTCCTAGAAGATCCTTGAGCCAGGTGACTGGATTTTGATAAATCTGACCATTTTCTACCTTAATTTTACCACTCAGTAAAACACTGGCTTTGTGAGTAGTCTCCTGAAGTGAAAAATAAAACAAAAATTAAGAAGGAAAAATACCTGAAATATGTGAACTTCTGCTTTTGGCCATGATGAAGTAATAGGAACCAGAATTACCCTAACAAAGAAAAAACAAACAAAATATATGGAGCAATGGTTTGCAAGGTACCAAACATCAGGCAACATAGTACAGTGATCCCTGAGAAGTGAGAAATTAATGAGGTGAGCCTTCCAAGTGTCCCAGCTCACTGCCTTGAGAGTTTCCAGGTCATGGTGCAGGGAGAGGGAATCCAGGCAAAGCCTGTGGACTCCTTGAGTTGAGGAGACAGACCAGAGTCCACGGAGGCAAAGTGCCTAGAGTTTGCAGGACAGAATACTGAGAAGAGAGACATACAAAGAAAGAGAACTCTGCAGATCTTCAGGGGGGGTCCTCTTTAAGTATTCAGCTGAGTAGTGATTGGCCATGTTTGAGAGCAAATTACCCAGGGCTGGGAAAAGAACCACCTGAGAAGATCAGAAGTAATGACACCTGGCATTCTCAAAGGTCAGAAATAGTGCCTGTTCCCAACAGCAAGACTAGAAAACCTCAATACTGGTGGGGCATTGGTTGGGTACACAGAAGAGCCTTACCTCAGTAGTGGCAAATAATTAGCCCTAGATTGAACACATGCTCCAATCCTGCCTACCAAATCTTTTTTTTTTTAAAAGATTTTATTTATTTATTTGACAGAGAGAGACACACAGCGAGAGAGGGAACACAAGCAGGGGGAGTGGGAGAGGGAGAAGCAGGCCTCCCATGGAGCAGGGAGCCCCATGTGGGGCTCGATCCCAGGACCGTGGGATCATGACCTGAGCTGAAGGCAGATGCTTAACGACTGAGCCACCCAGGCGCTCCCTGCCTACCAAATCTTAAAAGCAAGACCCACAAGGATCAAATTGTTTCCAAGGAACTTAACTGTATCCTAAAACAAATCTACAAAATATTTATAAGAATAAAAAAATATCCAGCATCCAACAAGGTAGATTTCACAATGTGTGGGATTCAATAAGAAGTTAACAGACCTGGCTGTGAATTGTGCAAGACTGTTGAATCTCAGATCTGTACCTCTGAAACAAATAATGCAATATATGTTAAGAAAAAAAAAAAGAAGAAGAAGAAGGAGCGGGAAGAATGAAGCGGGGGAAAATCGGAGGGGTACATGAACCATGAGAGACGATGGACTCTGAAAAACAAACTGCGGGTTCTAGAGGGGAGGGGGGTGGGAGGATGGGTTGGCCTGGTGGTGGGTATTGAGGAGGGCACATTCTGCATGGAGCACTGGGTGTTATGCACAAACAATGAATCATGGAACACTTTATCTAAAACTAATGATGTAATGTATGGGGATTAACATAAGAATAAAAATAAAAATTAAAAAAAAAAGAAGCTAACAGACCTGGAAATTAGTAGGAAAATACAACCCATACAGAAGAGATAAAGCAATCAACTGAAAATGACTGAGAACTGGTAAGAATGTTAGAATTAGCAGATAAAGACATTAAGTAGTTATTACAATCATATTCCACATGTTCAGAAGTTATGTGGAGACATGGAAAATATTTTTAAAAAGACCAAAATCAAACTTCTAGAGATGAAAATTACAATGTATGAGATGAAGAATACACTGGATAGTTACAGATTAGACATTTTGATCAAAAAGATTAGTAAATTCAAAGACAAAGCAATAAGTACTGTAGAAAAATGAAATACAGAGAAAAGAGAATTTTTTTTTTTTTAAAGATTTTATTTATTTATTTGACAGAGAGAGACACAGCGAGAGAGGGAACACAAGCAGGGGGAGTGGAAGAGGGAGAAGCAGGCTTCCCACAGACAGGGAGCCTGATGCGGGGCTCAATTCCAGGACCCTGGGACCATGACCTGAGCCGAAGGCAGACGCTTAACGACTGGGCCACCCAGGTGCCCCGAAAAGAGAATTTTTAAAAATGAACAGATCATCAGTGAATTGTGGAATGATTTCAAGCAAGCCAATATGTGTGTAATAAGAGGTTCTAAAAGGAGGGAAGGGAAGAAAAAACATTTGAAGAAATAATGGCTGAAATTCTTCCACATCTGAGATTCACATGTGGAACCCAGAGATTCAAGAAATTCAATAACCCCTAAGCATAAGAAACATGAAAAAAATTACACTAATGCTCCTCATAATCAAAATTGCTTAAAACCAGGTAAAATCTTAAAAGCAAAAAACAGAAAAAAAAAATCCAAAAAAAAAAAAAAGCAGCCAGAAGGAGAAAAAAAAGACCCATTACTTACAGAGGAACTAGGTTAAGAACAACAGTGTATTTAAACAAGAAAGAAAACAAGCAAGCAAGAAAACAGTGGAGCAACATCTTTCAAGTAAAGGAAAAAACTCTTTCAACATAAAAGTCTGTATCTGGCAAAAATATCTTTCAAAAATGAAGGTGAAATAAACTTTTTCAGACATGCAAAAGTCAAAAGGATTCATTATCAGCAGAAGACCTTCAATATAAGAAATGTTAAAGACAGTCCTCCAGGCAGAAGAAAAATGGTAGCAAATGGCAATCAGGATCTACATAAAGGAAACAAAAGCAGAAATGGTAACTACATGACAGAAATACTTTTCTTATTATTTAAATCTGCTTAAAAGATAACTGCTTAAACAAAAATAATAATGTAGTGTGGAATTTATAACATTAGGTAAAGGTAAAATATATGGTAACACAAAGGTCAGGAGTAGAAAAATGGAAGCATACTAGTTTGAGGTTCTTACAGTATATATGAAGTGGTATAATATTACTTACAGGTAGACTGGGAGAAGTTAAAAATATGTTCTATAAACTCTAAAGCCACAACTGAAGTAAAGAGTTGTAGCTAATAAACCAACAAAGGAGATAAAGCATAAAAAAATGAAAAAGGGAACAAAGAAGAGATGAGAGAAATAGAAACAGATGCCATGTGATAGATTTAAACCTAACTACATCAAAAGTCCCACTGAATATAAATATTCTTTTTTTTTAAGATTTTATTTATTTGAGAGAGAGCATGAGAGCGCATGAGTGGGGGGAAGGACAGAGGGAGCAGGACAAGCAGACTCCCCGCTAAGCAGGGAGCCCAATGTGGGGCTCAATCCCAGGACTCTGAGATCATGATCTGAGCCAAAGTCAGATGCTTAACTGAATGAGCCACCCAGGTGCCCCGAATGTAAATATTCTAGAATCAACTTCTGGTATGACAATGTGAGGATCCAGTCCCAGATGAAAAGTATTTAAAAAAATAGTTTAAATCTGGAAATGGTCGTAAACGCATGCAGCAAATAAAGAGCCATCTATTCAGCAAAATCTATGACAACTAGGTGGGAAAAAAAAGGTGAGTCTGTGGTATGTGAACCAAGATTGCTTTCTTCCTCCCCCTTCCCATCTCAGTGAGGTGCAGATTTCACTCCAGATTCCACTTGCAGCCAAGAACACAGGGCTCCCTCTCCCTATAGCCTCCAATCAGAGGGCTACCTTCTTGTTAGGGGAAGGATATCAGCTTTTCTCATCTTGCCCTCAGCTATCTCTTGCTAAGGCTAAGTTCTGAGTGCAGCCAAGAGGTGGGGGAACCCTTCTGCGAAGCCTGTACTGGTGAGGCAGAGGCTCCACCTTTGGCATGGTGGCACTGAGACTAGTAGGACCCTGATCACCCCTAGCTGGCTTGTAAGGTAGTGGTTTCATGTCAGGAGAGACAAGCTGTAAAGGCATGAGGCTAACGTGCCTGCCTTGGCTAAATGCTCAGCTCCTAAAGCCGGGTGTCTTTCAGAGAAAAGTTGTTATGTCCCCACCCCAGCTCCAGAGCTATGGCACAGTGATTTTGTCTTGGAAAAGAAGCAAGCCTTAAAACAGATGGTTCCTAATCTCCTCCAAAGGAAATGACTTCATTTACAACAGACCATGGAGAAGTTCAAGCTCAAGGGCACTTTAAAGGCAGTACAGGTTGTGGTAAAAAGCAATTGGAAGTAAATTGGTAGATTCACTGGGGATACAGGCTGAATTGTAGGCTGGCTAGTTTTTAGGAGAGAACTGGGAAAAGAAATAGTAGGGAGGAGCATTCCTAGAGTAAACTCAAACACTGACTTCATAAACTATCCCTTCAAAGGAACACACACTTGACTGGATTAGTCTGTAGAGCAATTTATGCTCCAGGTCATCACTGAAAACAATATAATAATTAACCAGCAATAACTGGAGCTTAATGGCTAGGTATGGAGAGGGAAAGAGACAGTCAAAGAGAGACCTGCCAAGGTCTCAGTCTATGTGGTACAGTATCAAAAGTTTAACACTATAGTAGGGAAAAATAACCTCCACTAAAACAATCTAGCCAGTAACTAAATAAGCAGGCACATAACAACAACAAGCCTAAGAGAAGGTGGGGGCCAGTACACAGAGTTGCTACATCTTTCAAAATATATAAGATGTCCAGTTCCAACCAAAAACTGACACGTGGAAAAACAGGAAACTATGACACATACATCAAAACAAATAAAGCAACAGAAAACATCTGTGAGAATGACTAAATGTTGGATTTAATAAAGACTTTTTTTTAAAAAAAGATTTTATTTATTTATTTGACAGAGAGAGACACAGCTAGAGAGGGAACACAAGCAGGGGGAGTTGGAGAGGGAGAAGCAGGCTTCCTGCCAAGCAGGAAGCCCAATGCAGGGCTCGATCCCAGGACCCCAAGATCATGACCTGAGCCGAGGGCAGACGCTTAATGACGGAGCCACCCAGGTGCCCCTTAACAAAGACTTCTAAACAGTCATTATAAAAATGTTAAAATAATGAAAAGAAACCATAAATAAAGAAGTAAAGGAAGGTATGATGATAGTGTCATATCAAAGAGAGAATATCAATAAAGAGACAGAATTTATAAAAAAGAACCAAATAGAAGTTATGGACTTGAAAAGTATAATAACTGAAATGAAAAATTTACTAGAGGGGTTCAACAGATTCATGATGTCAGAA